GATGCGCCGGGCATCGTTGCCGATGACGCCCTGACGCGTGGCCTGGAGGCGGGGGATGGCGACGCGACATTCAATCGCGAGGTGGAGCTGGAGGTCGGCCGCATTCGTCGCGAAGCCAACTTCGAGTCGGCTGCCTTGGGGGCCTCGGGCCCGTTCCACCCGGAGGACATCGACGCAGTCTTGGGGCAGTTGCAGGCGAACCGCCGTACCCTTCGCCTTCCTCGCGCTGCCGTCCTGGAAGGCCTGTACGGCGGCCGCCTGGTCACTTGGGCATTGGTCTGCTTGGTGACGGTGGCCGCCGTGGTTCCGAGCGGCTGGATGCGCGAGGTTGCCCCGATTCGCAAACGCGGCCCAGCCGTCGTGGCGGACGTCGCCAACCTGAGGCCGGTCAGCTACACGGACGAGTTGTGCGGCGTGTTCGACGCATTGTGGTTGGAGGCCGCGCGCGCGCTTGGAAGAGTACTCGGGGAACCCCCAAGGGGGTGGGAAGTACGACGCGGTGCTCATGGTCATTGGCATGGTTATGGCACTACAGATTCGCCGCGCGCACGGCCTGCCAACATGGGTCGAGAAGGCGGACCTGCAGCACGGGTATGACCTGGCCTGGAGGGACGGCGTCCGCCTGCACCTTCGGCGCGCAGGCCTGAAGGGTCACCTATGGCTCTTCGCCGACGCGGCACTGGGGGCGGAGCGTTTCCGGGTGCGCATCGGCAGCGTGGTGGGGGCGGAAGCCGAGCTTTCTGGCTTTGGAGTCGGTCAGGGTCGGCGGCAGGGCGTGCACTTGTTCGGCGCTCTCGTCAGGGCTCTGATCGACGGGCGCACGGCAGCGGCAATTGGCGTTGGCATCGACCCGCCCGCGGCTGCCGCGCGAGCTCTCCACGAGTACAACGAGCGTGCCCCCCCGCCCGCGGGGCGCGCTATTTCCTGGACGGCAGTTCAAATGGAAGTACACCGTGCGCGCGCGATGGGTGGGATTCCTGACTGGCCTCAGCATCTTCGCGCGTTGGCCTCGGGCGCGGACAGGTGCGCTCTCTTGGACGCGATTGCAGGCCACATGCTGTTGTTTCTCTAGTTCGTTGACGATTCGTTCATTTTCCAATCCTCTACTGCTGGCCTGGCGGCGGTTAACAATGCCCTGACACAGTTCTGCCAGGTCTGGCGCCACCGTTTCCAAGGCGGGCGCAAGCGACCGCTGGTCATGGCCGTCGGACCCCCCCGGGAGGCCGACACCTTGTTTGGGGAAGTATGCGGCGTACCTCCTGGTCTAGCTCCTTCGCTCGATATGTTAGGTATCCCCGTGGAGGCGGATCTCACTTTCCACTCGCTTTCGGGACGCGTGTGTTCGAGGCTGCGGGACGGCGCGCGCAAGCTCATTGCTGCTCTCTCGCAGAGCGGGTTTGGGTTGCCTTACCAGGTAGCGCAATTCCCTGCCCGCGTAGAGGCGCCCGCCTTCTACGGGGCGGAACTCCTGGCCAGCTACTCGAAGGGGTGGCAGGCCGCGGCTGCCCAGTTAAACCGGGTGCAGTACTAGGTCGCCAATATGCTATTGGTGGGCAGCGGCTCGGAACTGGCCCTGGGCGACGGCGGACGCGTACGCGCGCTGGCCGAGACCCGCATGCTCACTCGGTGGAGGGCCGCCCTCCTACAGCGCATCGTCCTGGCACGGGCGCGCTTGCTCGCGCTGCCCGCGACGAGCCCGGTGGCGCAGGTGGTGGCAGGTACGCGGGTTACGACGGGGGCCACATGGTTGGACCACGCCATGGATGTCACCAGGTCGCTGGGTATCACCGTGGACTTCCTGGTGGAGGACATGTTGCCCACCGCGCGCGCGTGCGCGGACACGCGTCGCAAGGCCATGAAGCAGTGGAAGCGCACGTTCGTGGTACCTGCCGTGCGGGCCCACGAGCAGCGGTGGTTCGTATTACAGCTGGCGGCGCTGAACAACGAGGGCGTGGTGCCGTACCGTGACCTGTTGCCTATGCGGGAACCACTGACACCTGGCATCCGCTGGGCGCCTTGGAGCAGGTCTATGTGGCGCCTCTTCCAAGCGTGGTCGCTGGCCCGCGTGGCTGGGAGGCTCCCCGTGGAGGTGTGGTGGGCCGAGGGGGTGGGGTGCAATCCGGCCGCGTGCCCGCTGTGTTCGGAGCTGGCGCCCTCGGGGCGTTCGCTGGCGGAGTGGCTACGCCACCTCTTGGGTACATGCTCCGCTGTGGTTGCGCGCAGCGTGCCCGCATGACGACGTGGTTACCTGGGCCCTCAGCGACACGACCGAGTTGGACATATTGGCAGCGCGGGTGCGCGTGGTGGGGCTGGCTTCCCGCGCGTGGGCGTGCTGCGCGCGCGCGTCCGCGGCGCGCGCTACTCCCGCTGCCGGCCCGCACGCGTGAGGGGAGCGGCGTGAGCGCCCCTCCCCGGCGCCCCTGCTGCGCAGGCCCGGATGCCCGCGTAGGGCGGTGGCGCTCGCGGGGCGCATGACCGCCCCGAGGGGCGTCCTTGGCGAAATGGCCTCGACCGAGAAAAATGACCCTCATCCCCCCTCCTCCCCCTTCCTCCCCCTCCTCCTCCTCCTCCTCCTCCTCCTCCTCCTCCTCCTCCTCCTCCTCCTCCTCCTCCTCCTCCTCCTCCCCCTCCCCCTGGCAGGGTTTCTTCTGTGATCATCTTCTCCTCGCCACGCTCAGTGGCACGCAGCATCCCCCCCTATCGCGAGGCTCCCCTGGGCGGGCCGAGGACTCCACGGTGCTCCGCAGGGCACCCCGCGGCTTCCAAGGCGGCCTCCAGGGGGCCCCCCTGCGGCAGCTGGCGATAGTCTTGCCGACAGGGCACCTACACTTACGCTCATTCGCCGTAAATGCAAAACGCTGACATGTAAAGTCCATAGTTGTGGGGGCCGGGGTCGGTTTCCCACTGTTCAAGGAAGGCCACCAAGGCCGCCAAGGCGGCCCAGCAGCGCCCCAAGAGGAAGCTGACAGCCCAACTGTGGACGGAGGCTAACGACCGAAGGGTCGAACCTACCGTGAGGTCCGCAGGTAGAGGACTATGAGGAGCAGGGATAAAGATCTTTTCCCCTCTCGCCCGCTGAACGTCGGGCGCAGATGTATCCAATACCTGAGCCGAGAGGAATAGCGGTCTTCACATATGCACACACACACACCAACAGCCCCGAAGAGGAACCCTGGAAGCAACAAAGAAGCCTCCAGCGGCTGCCAAGGCGTTCACGACAAGGCGAGGAGGCCCTCCTCGAGGGCAGAATCATTCAAACACCAAAGAACCCTTGAATATTTTGCGCACTTCCTGAGCCTCTCGGTTCAGGGTGGTATCAAGTGGGCCGCGGAGGAGCCGAAGAGAAACCCAGAGCCCAATGAGGGCCTCTGGAAGCCCTCCAGGCAGCCCAGGACAGCGCCAAGACGGCACAAAGACGGCCGAGAGGGGGGCAGCCCAAGAGGACCCCAAGATAGTCCAATAAATCACCAAGTGGCTCCAGGGCAGCCCCAAAAGACTTCATAGACGGCCGAAGGACCCAAGAAGGCACCAAAACGGCCGAACAGAGCCCCAACCGAAGGAACTCAAGACAACCCCAAGACGACCCAGGTAGCCCCCTTATGAGAACCCTTCAAGAAAGGCGTCACATCTTACGACCCTATGGTCGGCACCCGAAGCTTCGCCACACGGAGTGCTGCTTTGGCACGGTGGCGGACTTGCCGAAGGCAGCTGGATAGTAAGATGATGCAACTCGCTCAGATGACCCACCGCCAGGAGCAGAAGACTCTTTGAAATCAGCTGACGCCCGAAGAACCAGATATGTTTGAAAAAGACAGGGAATGGAAACTCGTTGCGTACCCTCGGAGCCTGGCAGGTCAGTGAGCCGCGAGAATTATGCTACCGAACACGGGGCACGATTCCAAGCCACAGACACCAAAACTCTGTCGTGAATTGCCAGGGAGCTGGAAAACACACACACACACACGGCGGATGCACATGTGGAGGATCAATGTGCCTGGTCCAGCTCTCGCCCAGGCCAGCCTTGCCGTCTGTCTCCAACTTCCTGGTAAGATGCAAGCGGGGTGACGGCAGCCGGATGCTCCGCCCGTGTTCCTATCCGACAGACTGGTAAAAAGTAGGTCGGCAAAGACGAAGGCCTTCACGATGACCTAGCCTGAAGGATGGACCCAGGCAGAGCAGGTTGGAACCCGTAGGAAGAGGGGGCTGTAAGCCCCGCCTGACAGACTGGCGGCTCGCCGCGCTGTGGCCTCGGGCCCTCGGCCCCTGGGCCTTCCCCCCAAACCACTCCTTCGCTCCTGGGTCGCTTCCTGCCGCCACCGCCCCCGCCCCCCGGTCCTCGCACCCTCGGCCCTCGGCCCTCGGTGCCCCATCCTGGAGAGCCCTCGGCCCTGGGACCCTCGGGTCTCCTCGCAGCCTCGGTCCCCGATCCCGGGGGGGTCCTCGAGGCCTTCGGAGGCCTTCGGAGGCCTTCGGAGGCCTTCGGTGGCCTTCGGAGGCCTTCGGAGGCCTGGGCCGCCTCTCCTCTCGAGCACGCCGAGGGCCCCAGGGAGCCGAAGGCGGCGAAAAACCTCAGGACCCGTTTCCCTCGGGACCCCCCCCCCTTCCTTCATCGGAGGAAGAAAGAGCGGCATAAACGGACCGGAGGTCGCGGATTTCTCGGATCGGCGCTGGATTGCCCTCCCTGGCGCGGAGCGCCAGGGGCGGCGCCGGAGGCGCCACCAGGGAACTCTGGTGCCGGTCCGAGAACGCCGCACGGAGCTCCGACAGTTTGTGTTGATGCCGTTGTTTCTTGCTCGATTCCTGCCGAAGGGGTTCTGCAAGGTAGGGCTCGGGCTGAACAGCTGTGCTTTTCGTGTTCGTTATGTCTTGTCGTGTTTCGTGTTCCCTTGTTCTGTCTTCGCTTCGCCTTTGGGTGCCAAACGGAATGAAAACGACATCGGTCCACGAGATCGCCAAAGCACCTTTTAGCTCGCGCCCTGCGGTAAGGCTGGCGGGGCCACGAGCCGGGGAAGTGGTTCGTCTTCTGCGAAGGCCGCAACGCCTGGCGCTCCCGCCGATGCCGCTGCCGCTGCCGCTGCCGCGTCGCGCCCTCTGCGGCCTGGTTCGTCCCCCCCGCGCTCGCGCGAAAGGCGCCCAGAAGGGGTCCCAAAACGATCCCCAAGACGCTTCATTGAAGCGTCGTTCGGATCGTTTCGGGGCCTCTCTTGGGGCTCCTGCCGCGAATCAAGAATCAAGGCTGCCTCCAACCGGCTTCGTCAGGCCCCCAAGCAGCTCCCAAGACGCCCACGAGAGCCCCCAGAGACTGCCCAAGAAACCCCAAGGCGGCGCCATGAAAAAGTCACGGGTCCCGTGGTCCGCCGCTCGGGTCCTGCGGCGTCATCCCGGAAGTGCCCGCCGGGGCCCAGGAACTGTTCCCCCCCGCCCAAGGCGGAATCGAGAGACGGCAGCCGCGAGTGCATTGTCGGATCGCTGAAGATCTGGGGATGGTCGGGACACACGTGGCCCAAGTGTGATTCCAGAAGGCTCGCCCTCTTCCGCCTCGTTTCCGCTCTCTCTCATGCCCGCTCTGCCCGCAAACGCTATCTCTCAAATATGGCCCTTGGCCTTAGAACTACGCCAGTTGTTCGAGCCGCGCTCACAGCAAAACTATCTCGGGCTCTGCGCACCGATCCATATCACAGCGGCAGCTTGGAGCGAGGCTCGCTATCCCGGCCCGCGGGGCCATACATATCAACGACGGCGTCTGCGACACGTCGATCCATGCTGGAATCGAAGCCCTGCGGCTTCCTCACGCTGTTGCCCAGCGCCTACGCCAGCGTCGGCGACGCCAGCATCAACGCCTACTACGCCTACAATGCCAACTCCTACGCCAGCGTCAGCGACGCCAGCATTCACGCCTACTACGCCTTCAACGCCAACTCCCACGCGAGCGTCAGCGACGCCAGCACTCACGCCTACTACGCTTTCAACGCCAAGTCCTACGCCAGCGTCAGCGACGCCAGCACCTGCGCCCACAGCGCCTGCCCTCAGAACTTTAGCGACGCCGCCAAGTTCGATTTCCCGTACCCCCAGAACTTCAGCGAAGCCGCCGAGTTCAATTTCACATACTCCCAGAGCTTCAGCGACGCCGCCGAGGTCGATTTCTCTTGCCCTCAGAACATCAGCGACGCCGCCGAGTTCGACTTCCTTTACTCCCAGGACTTCAGCAAAGCCACAAGATTCGACTTCCCTTACTCCGATGTCTACGTCTACCCTTCCACAAAGATGACGGACATTTCTCACAATTTCGGACAGCCAGTTATACCCGCATGGAACGGAGATCCCTCAAAGTGGAGAGACTACAAGCAGGAGGTGAAGCTGTGGAAGCTCACCGAGAACCTCTCAGCCACGCAGAGTCTCGCGTCGAAGCTCGTGCCCAGGCTCAGCGGGACAGCGAGAACCGCAGCATTGAATATGACGCAGGGGCAGCTGCGCCCGGCAGCTGCAGCAGACATCGAAGACGCCGACGAAGAGATACGAAACAGGAATCAGGTCGGCATCGGGAATGCCCCACAGCATTTGGAAGCGAACCTGGGTCAGCAGAAGCCCGCGCAGAAGGGCGAGACCCTCAAGAAGTTTTTCAAATCTACCCAGCATCACCGACGGCGAAGTGAACGAATGACGGAATGGCCCATCCGCTTCGAGACTAGTCTACAGCAGCTACGCGAGAACGAGGTGGACCTCAACGCGCTGGACAAACTGGCGGGATGGTTCCTGCTGCGAAAGGCTGGTCTCACGGCCGAGCGCCGCGAGCGCGTCGCGGGCAACCTACCCGACGAACGCTACGGCTACCCGCGCATCCGCGGACTGCTGGTGCGGACGTTGCCGAACATCCACAATTCCGAGCGCCGCGCCCCGCCGCCACCGAGGCCGCGGAGCAACCAGTCGCGCCCCCATGGCGGCTGGCGCGGCGACGCATCTCCCAGCCGTGGAGGGCGATCCACTAACGTCGTCGACGAGCCCGCCGACGAGGACGACGAAGAGCACGAGGAGGACGACGAGGACGAGGCCGACGCCCAGGACATCGCTCGCCAGGAGCTCGAGGCCTTCAGCGCCGAGCTCGAGTCCTCCAACGTGGGCATCTCCGAGCTGTTTGACGGCGACGACTCTGCCAAAGTCGAGGCCGCCACGGCGGAGCTTGCCGCCAGTCCCGAGGCCATGGCCACCATCAGATCAGCCCGGGAGGCCCTGAAAGGCCGCGGCAAGTCGAACCGGTTAACGCCGCCTCGCCGCCCGGCCAAGCTCCAGAGCCGGGTCGACCAGCGCCAGATGACGTCGCAACGCTGGGGCTGCGGCGAGACTGGGCGCTGGACGGGAGACAAGGAGCGCCCCGCGCCGGGCGCTCGCAAGGTCGCGCCCAAGGGCGCCGAGTCCAAGGGCGGTGGGCGGGGAGGCCGAGGAGGTCGCCCGCAGCGCCAGGCGCACATCACCGAGCAGGTCCGGTTCGCGGTCGAGGAAATTGCCCTTCACCCACAGGGACCTGCGTCGCCGCCTCCTAAGGCCTGCGTCTCAGCGCGGCTGATTCACCACCTGCCGAACGTGAACGTCGCGATCGGCAACGGGCCACGGACGACAGCATCGGCGCGGTGGATACCGCCTACCTTTTCTGCGTCTCGGGCAGGAAGTGGCAAGACAACTACAAGGACATCCTCACCAGGATGGGCCTCGCCGACCAGATACTCGAGGAGCACGAGGGCGAGATCTACAGGTTCGGCAACGGAGGCACTCTGCCAAGCAAGCTGCGCGTCACCGCGCCGCTCGTGCTCTGCGGCCAGGCCGGCAGCATCGTGTTCAGCGTCGTGGACAGCCCCACGCTTGGCCTGCTCATCGGCCGCGACTTCATACAGGCTTCCAAAATCAACATCTCTCTCTCTGGAAGGGCCAGATCCGCATCGGGAACTCCATCCAGAAGCTCATGAAGAGCGCCGCGGGCCACCCCGCGATCAAGTTGCAGCCAGAGGACTGGCAAGCCATCAAGGACGCTGGCATGGAGCGACCTGTCAAGCCAGCCAGCCAAACGAAGGTGAGCGACGAACCTACGGTAAACGCTACGAAGGTGAGCCAAACGAAGGGAGCCAGGCGTATAAAATCACCAAAGGCCTTGGTCACCACCAACGGCCTTGGTCCAGCCGCATAAAATCAGCCAGGCCTTGGTCACCATCCTGGAGAAATCTACCACCAAATCCTGCCCGACCCCCATAGCGAGCAGCACCGTGCTTTACGAGTGGTGCTGCAACCCGGACAGCCAGCTCAGTGCTACCTGGAGGAACAAGGGAGGAGCTGCTGTCAGGTGCGGCCTCCCAGGCAACGACCTCTCAAAACGGTTCGTGGTCAACGAGCTGGAGGGCTGGATCAGATCCAACCTTGCCAATGGCAAGAGAGCGCGAGTTCACGCTGCATTTCCTTGCCAGCCGCGGACCCCACCACAGCGACTTCTCGCGAAGATCGACCGCGTAAGATCCCGCAGTTCAAAAAGGATCGAGCCAAGTCCAAGCTCATGATCGGACTGCTCCTGCAGGCCATGTCCCGGCTGCGCAAGGAGTTCGGCGCCCAGCTCGCCGTCTCGCTCGAGTGGCCGAGGTGCTGCGACGGATGGGACCCCAACAATAACTCGACCGCCAAGCAGCTGAAGGAGCAGCTCCAGCGAGTCATAGACTTCGACGGCCGCGCGTTCGACCTCAAGACAAAGAAGGGCTCCCACATCAAGAAGCCGTGGAAGATCGTTACCGACCACAACGGGTTCGACGACTCGCCCAGGAGGTTCTGCGATGGGTCGCATCCCCATGCCGAGGCTCGCGGCAAGATCGCGACGAACAGCGAGAACTGCACGCGCAAGCTCGTGAAGATGTTGGCCGGACAACTGCGGCGACCAAACCGCCGACCCCTACTCGAAGCACACCCTACAGCGCGAGGGGCGAGCAGGAGGACGGTTCCGGCCGCCACAGCCGCACAGGAATCAGTGCTCACGGCCGCGGAAGAGCTGACGCTCAGGTCCGCCGCGACGCAGCTCCACGTGAACACGGGGCACCCGTCCAACGACTCGCTTGCCCGAGCTATCCGCGTGACAGGCGGATCGCAGAGATGGCTCTCAACCTCTACTGCGAGGTCTGCGCAGCACATCAATGGCCACTACCACACCTGCCAGGCAGGATCAGACTGGACAAGGATTTCCACGACTCCATCAGAGTGGACATCTTTACCCCGACTACGCGGGCAACCAGCTGATCTACCTGAACGCGGTCGACCTGGCCTCGGGTCTTACTATGCGCGGCTCTGTTGCATCAAGGCACCCACCAGCTGTATTCGCTCGACTGCTGCAGATTTAAACCACGCTTTTCGGCGCCCCTCAAGGCGCCATATGTGATGGAGGAGGCGAGCGCGACCGAGAGTGATCCAAGGAGCTGGAGAACATGGGTTGCCGTCTGAGGACCACCCTTGCGGCTGCGCGGCAGCAGAATGCTAAGGTGGCGCGACATGGAGGCACGTGGAACGTGCACGCGAGGAAGCTGATCGACCAGTTCAGCATCAGGTTCGACCAGCCCGAGATCGCCCACAAGGTCCAGTGGATGATCGCCTCCGTGTGCTGGGCCATGAGCAGCCAGGTCAACTCCGCGGGCTACTCGCCGTCGCAGTAGGTGCTCGGGCGAGGCCTTCGGCCCCCCCACTGCTTGCTGGACAACGCGGGCAGGCTTTCCCTGCACGAGCGCACCGTGTCCGACAAGCCGTTCTCAGAGAGGGTCGCCATCGTGAAGGCCGCGCGCAGATCTGCACGCAGCAGCTGAAATTCAACCAGTCCCTCTCGAGAGCACTGCTGGCCCAGTCTCGGGCGGATGGAGCTCGGCGCGCCAGCGACGTCTAGCAAGACTGGCGACCAGGTGCACTACTGGAGGGGCGGGGCAACGGCAAGCCCAAGCGAGAACGGGCTTCGCAGTGGCACGGGCCCGGCGTCACCATCGGGTTCGAGGGCGCTTCGAACGTCTGGGTCAGCCACCGCCCCACGAG